TAAAACTTGGTCTCTACCCAGGTAGAACGCTGAGAGGCTAGTCAGTGAGGTGGCAGGCTTGGATCTCAGCCCAGGCCTGCTTTGGGGCCCAGCCAGGACGACACTAGGCTCTCCAAGGGTGTTACCAATTCACAGTTTTCATGAAACTGATTGACTTTCATTAGCGTGTAGTGTATTAGTGTCCTGGGGCTGCCGTAACAAAGGACCACATACGGCATAGCTGAAACAACTGGTGTGATTTTCCAGAGCCCTGAAACCAAGGTGTCTTCAGGTTTGGGTTTTTTGAGGCCTGTCTCCCTGACTTGCAGACGCCACCTCCGCACTGTGTCTTCACACGGTCTCTCCTCTGTGCACATGCGTCCCTGCTCTCTGCCCAAATTACCTCATACAAGGACACCAGTCAGATGGGATTGGGGCCCACTCTAACAGCCTCATCTTAACTTAACCTAAGGGCCCCATCTCCAAGCACAGTCACAGTCTGAGGACCTCATCACAGACATTTGGGAGGGACACAATCACAATCATAGCACATGGGTGCCATGCAACACTCTGAGGACCCAGGGCATGGAGGAGAAATGGGCAGTGATGGCCTTTTGTGACATTTGCAGTCAGCGCTCTGAGTAGTCAGCAGGGTCATACCGCTTCCAGGCGTGAGCTGTGAGGCACAGCTGCCCAGGCTGGCCAGGGGAGCAAGCCCAGGAGGGACTCAGACCTCGAGACCCTCAAGGGATTGCCTTTGGCCAGCAACAGCCAGCCCTCTACTGGTTCACTCAACAAAAACAGGGCCCACAGCCCAGCCTCCAAGCTCAGGCCCTTATCTCTCACTTGAGCTTCGCATGCCCTCCTGGGCGTCTCTCCTGCTCTCACCCATTGCCGGTGCATTCCCACATACTGCTCCAAAATGCAGCTCTCACCCTGTTTCTCCCGGAGCCCCTCATTACCTTGTCTTGTGTAAGACCCCTGTGCGCCAGGCCCTGCATCCCGACCACTCCCCTCCCTGCTGCAGTCACACCACATTGCAACAAATTCATGGAAAAGACGCATCTCAGACCAGCTCAGCATTCTTGCCCTCTGAGGCCTCCCCTGTGACTGTCGGGCTCCACTGAGCACCTCTCCTTGAGGCCCCCACGTACCGTGTTGCTTAAATGCGTAATGCGTTCCTGAAAACATACCGGCAAATGGCCTGTGTCAGGGCAGAGCTGATGCTGGAAGGTGTAAGAAGGTACAAAGGCGCAGTCCTCAATGACGGCGGGAGCAGAGCTGGCGTCTGCATGGTCTCCCTCAGCCCTCCTTCACTACCGTGCGTGCTGTGGACTGAGGCTATAGAGCCAACACACCCGGAACAGCGGCGGCGGCACCTCAGTCACGTAGCTCCTGAAACCTGCCCTTAGTATCAGTATCAGCTCTTCTGCTTTTCTGCTGTGAACATAGTCTGTATAAAACAGGGCAAGTGCAAAAAACAGAGATGCTGTCCTTTTTTTTCTTCTTAATAATGGAATCCTTTCCATTGTTATGATGTCATGTATAAGCCCACTGAGTAACCCAGATACACATGGGGCCCTGGGGCGCCTCCCTGGAACAGTTTGAAAACAACCCCATCATTGTTCCCCTCCCTTCCCCCAGACTATGCAACTGGAATTTGACACAGGCGACGACCTCCCAGGAGAACCTGAGATGTTCTGGCCTGGAAAGAGGGGTGCAAGTGGACAGTGACAGTGGTCAGCTTTCTGGCTGATGGTGGCGAATCTCTGCTCGGATCAGCTTTGGCAGAACCCAGGGCTGAGTCTCCGGCATATAGGGGAAGGCCAGGGTGGAGCGGCCTCCGGGGCAGCCACAGCTGGGGGCCCCTCCACGCAGGCTCACAGCTCTGGGACCAGAGGTCCTTTGTCCCCAGGCAGAAGTTGGGCCCCCAGGTCACGTCCACATCTTAGGGAAGTATTGCAATACAGAGGGGTGGAGGTCCTGTCTGCCAGTCTCCACGGGACCACAGGCCTCAAGGGGTACCTCCTGAAAGAGGGGGTTGCTGTGCAGACAGAAACAGCAAGTAGTCAATTCATCAGTGTTTTCTAAACTCCATGATGCACAATAAAAAGTCTATTTTAAATTGCATCTCCACATATAGAGTCACAGAACTGCACCCGCAGTTTTACTGGTTGGCGTCTATCTCTACCACACGTACCATTTATCTTTAATTCTTGGAGACAGGATGCCCCCAAAGTCTTAGTGAAGTTTTAAGTTTTAGTAATTTAAGTGTAAATGCTACAGGCCTACAAAACACATCAGATGAATATTCGCTTATTTAAATTCCTTTTGTATTTTGTTTCCTGGTATTTGAATGCTAAGTTTTCTGTTTTAATTCTTTGCGTGTGCTAGAATGAGGAGAGGTGGGCAGGTCGGTGTCCTCTCCCACATCTGTCTCCCTTGAGGTCATGTCCAAACTGTCATGTGTGCATCAAATTCTCTGAAGATCGAAAGGCTGGAATCACAAAGGCAACCTCTGCCATCACTGACCATCGATTAGCCTGTGACCATTATTTCAATTTGAAAATCAACTACAGTATGTGTAGCATCGGACTGTGTTGTTATACGCATTTGAATAAGAAACAGCAATACATTTAAAAACGTAAATATCCTTTCCAATGTCATTTTGGGGGTACATTTGTAGCATTTGTGCTTCTGAAATTGTTAAAGCTTAAAGTCACACTAAGGCTTGGGCTGCAGTTTTAAAAATACTAGTAGCAACCTTTAAATCGCTTTCATAGCCCACCCATGGGTGACCCACCACAGTTTAAAAAGCACCACACTTCAAAAGTCAAGTGCAAAATCCAAACGTAGACCAGCCTCTCCCCAGGAGGGTGTTGGCAGGTCACCCATCACCATGTCCCATTGGGACGATGGTGGCCCTTCGGGGTGAGGGGGCTGTCTTGGCTCTGGAATTTCTCACTCTAGGTGGCAGTGAGTTGTGTCTGTGCTTCTCCTTGTGGACCATGAGCTGCTGAAGGAATGGACTGTGACTGTCTTTGTTTTCTTTTATCTTTGTGTCCCTCGCACATCATAGGAAAATTAGTCGCCTCTCTTGTCTCAATACAGGCTTACAGCCGGGGTCCAGCCCTGAACAGGTTAATGGCTGTTTTTCTTTTTTCGTCTTTCTGTTTTTAAAATAAATAAAGAAAAAGGCACAGCTCCTATCTATCACAGTTCAGAGACCCCTGTGTGGCATTTTTTAAATATGCTAAGAGTAATTCATGCAGATAGTTAGAAAATCCCAATTATACTGAAATGTGTAAGATGAATAGGAAAGTCTGGCCCCAGCCCCTGCATTTCTCCCCAAAAGCAGTCACTGTTAACAGTGTCTTATGTGTCCTTCCAGAAACCCTTTCTTGTGCATTTATGAGCATCTATGTGCACTTCCATTTTAACATTTATACCAGGCCAGTTGCTCTGCTCCAAGTATGTTGCTTTTTCCTCGTGATAATTTTTCCTGATGTACTTTTCACATGAGCCGCCTCCTTTTTCCTGCACATGTTGCTGTAATGTATTCAACCCGTTAATATTTTGGTGAACATATTAAGCACATATATTTGACTGTAATATATTTGACTTTACGGATACACATTCGGTTGTTTCCAGTTTTGTCTTGTTTTATGCTGCTCACAACCAGAGTCGCTGTATAAAAACCCAGATAGATGGTTTTCCAGTGCTGGGCAGGTCCCTCGAAGTGGATTCGCTGAGTCAATGGGGTGTCTCCTTTACCTGCTGGCTTAAGAGGCCTGCCTACCCCCTGCAGCCGCAAGGATGCTTTGCTGGGCATATTTTGGGAGACGTCTGGACAGGTGCTGACCAGCACTCATGGTAGCACCACTCATGTTAGATGTGCTCAGCTTGAGGTAAACTGCTGAGGGGAGAAGACCCAGCTCCTGCCTCCCGCCCAGCTCCTCTGGCTGCATTTTGTGTGGCCCAGAAAGTCACAACAAGAAACTCAAGGCCCTTCGGGGCTTGCCACCTATGACAGGCTATTGGGCTTGTGCAACTTTGCTCTCGGCTTCGTTGGCTGTTTTGTTAGGGGCCTGCCTGCCGCCGCTGGGAGCTCCTGCTGAGGCTGCAAGCTCTGGGTAGGACCTTGCGAAGTGGGGTCCTAACGCCGGGGTCTGGGCCTGTGGTGGGGCAACTCGAGGAGGGCATCTCCTCTGCCCACTGGGCTTCCAGTCCGGTCCTGTTCCTTGAGCCGCACATCTGTGCGCTACAGTGCCCCCTCCAGTCCCTCACAATGGGGGAGGGCACATCCCTCTCATACTCCTAATTCCTGCGAGATGAAGTGGCTCCTTCTGTCCGCCAAGGCCATCCCGGGATGCTCCTTCCAGCGTTCTGTTTACTGTGTCTGTGCCTGGGAGAGAACTGGGGCTAGAGGAGGTAGAGCTCCAATTTTGGGTAAATGGACGCTTTAGTGGCTAGGGACAGAAAGGACGTCAGAGGGAGCAGAGATGGAGCCTGGGCCCACGAGTGCAGGTTCTCTGTGGTACCACCCAGGCCTCAGGCAGCCGCACGGTCCTGGGGGCGGTTGGAGGGGTGGGCAGGTCGCTCATCAGGACAGCATGCTAAGGCTCTCTAACAGCACCCACCAGGGAGTGAAGAAGGGACTGGGGTGCAAGGGCCAAAAGCACAGCCCTACAGTCTCCCCTCATCGCTGGCCAAACGTTTCCTCCTGCCTGACTGGCCCCAAGCAGGTCCTCCCAGCCACACTCAAGGGGCGTGCACGGAGCATGGCCAGGCTGGCCCTTGGCAGCCCTGTCCCTCCCGGACATCCTGCCCGCTGCTGCCCCATCCCCCAAGGCGGCCACCGGCTGCCAGGCCGCACGTGCTGTGGCTGGTGCATCTCCGGCAAGTGGGCCCAGTGGCCAGGCTGCTTTTGCTATGGGGCGGACACAGGGGTGCGGCAGACACGGGGGTGCAGCATCAGAGTGACACCCGGCTGCGTTCTGACTCCGCTCCTTGTCTTGCAGGAAGAGGAGCAGGGTGGCGAGGAGGGCCCACCCCAAGCAGAGCCTGAGGAAGAAGACGGTGAGTGGGACACAGCCCCCAGGCCTCACATTGCTGCCCCTCACTGGCCTCGGGGGCGGGACTGTGCCGAAGTCCCTTGGGACACCCCAGCCAAGGACTTGAGTGGCAGGACGAGGGGAGTGCATGGAGTGGGAGAGGACAGGGGTCGTGTGGCCAGGGTCCACTCCCTCTGAGCCCTTGCCCCCCTCACCCACCACCCTTCCCGCCTCCCGTGCTCTGTGGTCCTCCGCTCTTCCTCCGTAGGCTGTGAGTTATCTCCGCATGCAGTGGAGCATCTTGGGAATGATAAACCAAGCACCCTGCCTTCTATTTCCTGTTGCCTTCTGACACCCCTCTCTGCTGCCTCGTGCATTTCATGTTTCCTCTCAAATGGCTCTGACCTATTTTATGGAGACTAAAGCCACTCTCAGGTCTGCTGCCCGAGCTTTCTGCAGAATAAAGGCCCCAGGAGAGGAAACGCCTGATTTCTGAGCAGCTGTAGCTGACCAGCCAGACCTCCCCGGCCATCAGGGCCCAGGCAGCCAGGAGAAGAGCAAGGGGGTACCCAGGGGCACTGCGGAAATGGACTGATTTGAACGTGCTGGGGGAAGGTGCCCTGGGCCCGTGGGGGCCGTCACCCCAGACGAACACAGAACCAAACACGGGTGGGCTTCTGCTGGCTCTGGCATGTTTTATTTCTTTAAAAAAAAAAAAGCTGAAACAAAAAAGGGCAAAATGCCAACATTTGTTAAACCTATATGAAAAGTACAGGACTTTCTGTGTGCTGTACTTTTGCGTGTTTGTGATACTTCATAAGTTTAAAAAAAAACAAGCCTGTTGCTGTAACTTTAAGCCAACTGCTGGCAGGGGCCCTGGAAAGCACTGCAGGACTGCAGTGACCAGGGCTGGCATCGGCCAGGGGGCAGGGCAAGGCTACGGGCCCCAAGCCCCACCACCCCCACTGGGCCCCAGGACTGTGGGTTTCAATTAGCACCTCCTCAGGAAGGGGAAAGGGCAGCAGCTGCAGGGGCAGCAGGGGGCAGGGGCATCAGCCCCTTGCGGTGGGGTGGGGGACTCTCCCTCTCCAAGCTGCAGGTTCTTCCATCATCTGAGCTAGGGGCTCATAGGAACTGGGGTCTGGCCTGGGGTCGGTCCCTGCCACATGGCCCCAAGGCAGCTGCAGGGGTGTCTGTCAGGATCCTATTAGTGACTTGGGGATGTAGAAGGGAGGGCGGGAGGCCCCTGGGCCAGGACAGAGGGGCACAGACTGCTCTCCTGAAACGGCTGTGGCTGCTGTCAGACTCAGCCCCACACCCAGCCATGTGGGCTGTCCTTATACTGAAATGTGTAAGATGAATAGGAAAGTCTGGCCCCAGCCCCTGCATTTCTCCCCAAAAGCAGTCACTGTTAACAGTGTCTTATGTGTCCTTCCAGAAACCCTTTCTTGTGCATTTATGAGCATATATGTGCACTTCCATTTTAACATTTATACCAGGCCGGTTGCTCTGCTCCAAGTATGTTGCTTTTTCCTCGTGATAATTTTTCCTGATGTACTTTTCACATGAGCCGCCTCCTTTTTCCTGCACATGTTGCTGTAATGTATTCAACCCGTTAATATTTTGGTGAACATATTAAGCACATATATTTGACTGTAATATATTTGACTTTACGGATACACATTCGGTTGTTTCTAGTTTTGTCTTGTTTTATGCTGCTCACAACCAGAGTCGCTGTATAAAAACCCAGATAGATGGTTTTCCAGTGCTGGGCAGGTCCCTCGAAGTGGATTCGCTGAGTCAATGGGGTGTCTCCTTTACCTGCTGGCTTAAGAGGCCTGCCTACCCCCTGCAGCCGCAAGGATGCTTTGCTGGGCATATTTTGGGAGACGTCTGGACAGGTGCTGACCAGCACTCATGGTAGCACCACTCATGTTAGATGTGCTCAGCTTGAGGTAAACTGCTGAGGGGAGAAGACCCAGCTCCTGCCTCCCGCCCAGCTCCTCTGGCTGCATTTTGTGTGGCCCAGAAAGTCACAACAAGAAACTCAAGGCCCTTCGGGGCTTGCCACCTATGACAGGCTATTGGGCTTGTGCAACTTTGCTCTCGGCTTCGTTGGCTGTTTTGTTAGGGGCCTGCCTGCCGCCGCTGGGAGCTCCTGCTGAGGCTGCAAGCTCGGACCTTGCGAAGTGGGGTCCTAACGCCGGGGTCTGGGCCTGTGGTGGGGCAACTCGAGGAGGGCATCTCCTCTGCCCACTGGGCTTCCAGTCCGGTCCTGTTCCTTGAGCCGCACATCTGTGCGCTACAGTGCCCCCTCCAGTCCCTCACAATGGGGGAGGGCACATCCCTCTCATACTCCTAATTCCTGCGAGATGAAGTGGCTCCTTCTGTCCGCCAAGGCCATCCCGGGATGCTCCTTCCAGCATTCTGTTTACTGTGTCTGTGCCTGGGAGAGAACTGGGGCTAGAGGAGGTAGAGCTCCAATTTTGGGTAAATGGACGCTTTAGTGGCTAGGGACAGAAAGGACGTCAGAGGGAGCAGAGATGGAGCCTGGGCCCACGAGTGCAGGTTCTCTGTGGTACCACCCAGGCCTCAGGCAGCCGCACGGTCCTGGGGGCGGTTGGAGGGGTGGGCAGGTCGCTCATCAGGACAGCATGCTAAGGCTCTCTAACAGCACCCACCAGGGAGTGAAGAAGGGACTGGGGTGCAAGGGCCAAAAGCACAGCCCTACAGTCTCCCCTCATCGCTGGCCAAACGTTTCCTCCTGCCTGACTGGCCCCAAGCGGGTCCTCCCAGCCACACTCAAGGGGCGTGCACGGAGCATGGCCAGGCTGGCCCTTGGCAGCCCTGTCCCTCCCGGACATCCTGCCCGCTGCTGCCCCATCCCCCAAGGCGGCCACCGGCTGCCAGGCCGCACGTGCTGTGGCTGGTGCATCTCCGGCAAGTGGGCCCAGTGGCCAGGCTGCTTTTGCTATGGGGCGGACACAGGGGTGCGGCAGACACGGGGGTGCAGCATCAGAGTGACACCCGGCTGCGTTCTGACTCCGCTCCTTGTCTTGCAGGAAGAGGAGCAGGGTGGCGAGGAGGGCCCACCCCAAGCAGAGCCTGAGGAAGAAGACGGTGAGTGGGACACAGCCCCCAGGCCTCACATTGCTGCCCCTCACTGGCCTCGGGGGCGGGACTGTGCCGAAGTCCCTTGGGACACCCCAGCCAAGGACTTGAGTGGCAGGACGAGGGGAGTGCATGGAGTGGGAGAGGACAGGGGTCGTGTGGCCAGGGTCCACTCCCTCTGAGCCCTTGCCCCCCTCACCCACCACCCTTCCCGCCTCCCGTGCTCTGTGGTCCTCCGCTCTTCCTCCGTAGGCTGTGAGTTATCTCCGCATGCAGTGGAGCATCTTGGGAATGATAAACCAAGCACCCTGCCTTCTATTTCCTGTTGCCTTCTGACACCCCTCTCTGCTGCCTCGTGCATTTCATGTTTCCTCTCAAATGGCTCTGACCTATTTTATGGAGACTAAAGCCACTCTCAGGTCTGCTGCCCGAGCTTTCTGCAGAATAAAGGCCCCAGGAGAGGAAACGCCTGATTTCTGAGCAGCTGTAGCTGACCAGCCAGACCTCCCCGGCCATCAGGGCCCAGGCAGCCAGGAGAAGAGCAAGGGGGTACCCAGGGGCACTGCGGAAATGGACTGATTTGAACGTGCTGGGGGAAGGTGCCCTGGGCCCGTGGGGGCCGTCACCCCAGACGAACACAGAACCAAACACGGGTGGGCTTCTGCTGGCTCTGGCATGTTTTATTTCTTTAAAAAAAAAAAAGCTGAAACAAAAAAGGGCAAAATGCCAACATTTGTTAAACCTATATGAAAAGTACAGGACTTTCTGTGTGCTGTACTTTTGCGTGTTTGTGATACTTCATAAGTTTAAAAAAAAACAAGCCTGTTGCTGTAACTTTAAGCCAACTGCTGGCAGGGGCCCTGGAAAGCACTGCAGGACTGCAGTGACCAGGGCTGGCATCGGCCAGGGGGCAGGGCAAGGCTACGGGCCCCAAGCCCCACCACCCCCACTGGGCCCCAGGACTGTGGGTTTCAATTAGCACCTCCTCAGGAAGGGGAAAGGGCAGCAGCTGCAGGGGCAGCAGGGGGCAGGGGCATCAGCCCCTTGCGGTGGGGTGGGGGACTCTCCCTCTCCAAGCTGCAGGTTCTTCCATCATCTGAGCTAGGGGCTCATAGGAACTGGGGTCTGGCCTGGGGTCGGTCCCTGCCACATGGCCCCAAGGCAGCTGCAGGGGTGTCTGTCAGGATCCTATTAGTGACTTGGGGATGTAGAAGGGAGGGCGGGAGGCCCCTGGGCCAGGACAGAGGGGCACAGACTGCTCTCCTGAAACGGCTGTGGCTGCTGTCAGACTCAGCCCCACACCCAGCCATGTGGGCTGTCCTTGGGCCCCCCTCCTTACCTGACTGCGGCCCCTGGGCAGCCCCCACCGCCCAGCAGCCTCCTGCCAGTGCTAACAACTCAGAGGGAGGACAGGTTTATGGCCCCAGCTGTCAGAAGAAAACCTGCCTGGTGCCCCAGCACCTCTGCAGCCAGCAGCTCAGCTCCCGAGGCTAATTGATTAGTGTTGCTAGGATGCCTGCTGGCAACTTGGAGCCACAGAAGAGACGAGAGGAACCCCGTGGTCTGGCAAAACTGGGCCACTGTGCCTCACTAGGTTGCCAGGTGTGATTACGGAAGCCTTTGCAAGTCGCCTGTGCTCTCTGGCTGGGAAAAACATAAACCAATCAGACCTTCCCCACAAACTGAAACATTGAGTAGTTGGCAGCATTTTTTGTTTTATTTTTCTAAAGCCTTGCACACGATGACCTTGATGTTGAGGTTAATTGGTTTTCTTTGTTGCCTCTTTTCGAGGTCCGGAAGCGAGCCGTGGGGGTGGCCTTTTCAGAGATGGCAGCTCCATGTGGTCACAGCCCACCGCAGGCTTTTCAGGGCTCTCCTGATGACCAAAGACACAGGCCCCTAAATCACGCCTCCGAATCACTCAGCACGGTTCCCAGGGCCCCAGACGTGGGTCAGTCCAAGGCCTGACCGTGCAGGCCCAGAAGGAAAGGCGCTGGAGGAAGGGGCCGGTTTATGGGAGCTGGGGTGGGAGGGCTGGGTTCGCCCTGACTCTGCGCCAAGCCCCGTCCCACCGGGAGGAGGAACCCAGGCCTCCCACATCCGCCTGCCCCTTGCCATCTGCCACCAGTTTCACTGGCCCTTCTGTGCCAGATCTGTCTCCCCAGACACCGCAGGGCTTGCCCCCTCTCAGCTAATGGTGACACACCTCCCCTTCTGTAAAGCCCTCCATGGCACCCCACCCCTATTTAAACCTCCAAGCACCCCCTTCCCAACCTCTGTCTCCCGCTGCTGTCCTTTTCTGTACAGCCCCCAGGACCGACGGCGAACTGTGCTTCAAGTACTCATCTTTGCCGAGTGTTTTATTCACTGCTAGGTCCTCGCCCAGCATAGCGCTGACTAAATATTTGCAGAATGCATGAAAAACAAGTGAATCCTTGTTCAAGCCTAGTTACTGCTCCCTGAGGCGAGGTTTCAGCCCCTGGGCAGCTGGCAGGGGTGAGAGGGCTGCTGACAGCTGTGCCCTGGGAGCCGGCCAGTGTTTTCCTGAGCCAGGTTTCGGTGAGAGCGAACACAACCCCCACCACATGGCGTTTAGTTCTGCACTCTAACGGGCTTGGGGATTCTCGGAATTTGCATCCAGAACCCTTCCTTTAGGCCAGAGAGAAGCCAGATGTGAGACGGAGACCTTTTCCTCCCCTTGAGCCCACATCGGCCTGTCTGATGGCAAGGGATGGCCGTCAGCTGGTGATGTCAGGGTGGCACGATGTGGAGGTGTTAGCATTCTGACGCTGGAGTGACAGAGAGGTACCCTTTCAGAACAGAACTGAAAAACAATACATCCGCACAAGAGGGCCATCTGCTAGCCTCCCCATTCCCCTTACTCAGTTCTCTCAGAGTTAATGGAAGGTGGAGATGAGCCATTCAGCGTCCAGTCCAGGGGCTGGCTGGCGGCCATCCTCGCTTGCTGGCTGCAGGACCACTTTAGGGCACTGCTTCCTCACAGAGCTCTCTCCTTCTGGTCACTCTGCGGGGGTGCTCTGGGGGGCTCCTTTCTCTTCTGCCCATTGCAGCCCTCACCTGGGTGTGCCTGGTGCCCACCCTCAGGCTTCTCTCCATGTCGCACATCCCTGCTTTCCTCTGCCCAGACCCCTAGTGCAGCCTCATCAGGCCTCTAGGTGCCTGTGTGTCGCGCAAAAGCAGCTGTGGGGTCTGCTCTCAGGGACTGGTGGATTGGCTATACCCGCTCCGTAATATATGCTGGTTTTGACACCTGATTTTAAAATGCTGTGAAAAATCTCACATTACTCCTGGGTCCTATTGTGGGTTCACGTTGTTTCAGATTTCCAATAACTGGCAGGGGGCAGCGCATGGTGGGCCTGGTCACCATGACCCCCCTGGACTGCCAGGTGGGCATCCCCAAGCCCGGGAGACGGGAGGACCTCAGTAGGAGGGCAAGGGCCCCCATGCCACCCTCCAGAGACCTGGGACCTGAGAAGAGGCAGGAGTCAAGCACCCTGGCACAGCCTGCCTCCCAGAGATCGGCTCCCTCCATCTGACTGTCTCTAGCACAGCAGTAATGGTGGGCGGTTGGGGGCTTCAAAAATGAGGGAGTCTCACAGACCCAGGCTCAGTGACAGCCTTTGCTAGAGGCGGGTCTGCAGATGCTCACCCCGGCCCTGGGAGGGGGCTGTCCTTCGGGGGGCAGAGTCTTACTCTACGGGGCGGGGGCTAGTTTCTCTACAGCTGGCTCACCGTGGTCCATGTATCCTGATTCGAGTCCCTGTGTTGTTGTGGGTTTCATGGGAAGGCGTGGGAGGAGGACCATCAGTGCAGGAGGGGCAAGAAGATGTTGTGAGTGTCCCACCCTCTCCGAGGCAGGGCAAGTGCCGGCGCCCACACAGGGGCGTGCATGGGGCCCTCTGTCCCGCATGGAAAGGGGGCCCTTTGGCTGAGATGGTTTTAAGTAACAAAGGGAAAGGGGACTCTGAACTTGTGGGAGGGGCCCAGCACCCAAACCTCTACACCAGCTCTTCCCCACCCCCTCTCTGCAGGAGGAGAGACATTCTCCTTTAAATACAGCCCTGGGAAGCTGCGGGGGAACCAGTACAAGGAGATGATGACCAAAGAGGAACTGGAGGAAGAACAGAGGTAGGCCGCACCTCCCCCTGGGGACCGTGGGCTTCCCCTGGCCAGGCTGCAGCCAGCTGCCCTTCCCCTCCGCTTGGAGCCAGGAGCCGAGGCCCCCAGGCCGCGCCCCGCCCACTGCTCCCTTCGCATTGGCATTGTCAGGGCCCTTCCCCGGCCAGCAGCATTCAGCCAGGCTCGGTTTTCCCTGAAGACAGTCCCCTTGGGACACTGAGGGGAGCTTGGCATGGGCTGGGGCAGCCAAGCCCATTCCTGGCACCCTCCCCTCTCTCTCCACTGGAAAGGAAAAAATCAAAATGCCAAGGAAGAGCCTGGAAGAGATCCAGCCGTTCACTTATCCGGAGCGTCCATGACAAAAGCCATCCATCACTTCAGGGCAGAGTGGGATTCCCAGTGCTCATCCGCCAGACAGCCTCCTCCACCCTCCCGGCCCAGCGCCTCGGGTCATTTTTATCCCTTCTGCTCCACAGAGCTCTGGGGCAGCTGCAGCAGGGCTGCGCACCCTCACACTGAGCATTGGGCTATCGCCCCACCCCAGCCAGACCCCTTGGGGATACCCTCTGCACCTCCTGCCCACTCCATCCCACCGGGGTGGCTGAGGAGCGCTCAGAGGCAGCAGGACAGCCAGGGAAGGCCACAGGAGAGGAGCCATGCTCTGACCCTGAGCCCAGCGGACTCCTGCACACATAGGCCGGCCTGCAGCCTGCAGTCCTTTGGTTCGAGCCCAGGTTGAAATGGGAGCCCTGCCAGGCCAGAGGCGCTTGTGGTAATCACCCCCAACTCGTACACAAGTTGGTTCTGGGGTGCAGAGGAAGGGAGGGCTTATTATTACGGCATGCAGACCTCTTCCACCCTTACCAAGCCACCTGATACCCCCAAAAGTCAGACACCACTCTTCCAAACTCGGCCCAGAAGAGCTCGTCTAGGGGAGGAGGGGTGCAAGCCCCACCAGAGGAATGCCCCCCACTCCTCGGTGCTGGAGACGCTGCCTCTGGGTGTGACCCCATTTGCTGCCTTTATATTTCAGGATTGAGCTGACCTCTGACCTCACTTCCCTCTAGCAAGTTCCTTAGGTCCTGAGCCACAAATATTCTTGCAAATCCTTTTGGTAAGGAGACTGACTTCTTAGACTAGTAGTGCTTCCTCATCCTGTCTGTTGATGTGTCCCCAACATGACTGACATGGGCCTGAACCCCCTCCTCTGCCGCCTTCATAACCAGTGCATACACTTCCGGGCACCGAGCCACCTCACTGACCAGCGCAGGGAGCATTGGGCAACACCAGGCCCACGGCTGATGGGCCAGGTGTGGGGCGCTGGCGCCCCCTTGTGAGACCAGGGCAGAACTGTCATCCCTGGGACCACAAGGCTCTGGGGGTACAAGCCTGGTGTCACCCAAAGGCTTTAGGTCCCCCTGAGCAGGTTATGCACTTAGAGGCAGCATGGCAGAAGCCCTGGGCTCCCAGGCTGCGGGACAGGCAGGTTTTCATCAGAGCAAGGGCTGGCCGACTGTGGCCATTTTTGTAGCCCAGTGCAACTGAACACAGCCACATGCCTTTTCCTATGGTCCGTGGTGGCCTTCATACTGCAGTGGCTGAGTGGAGTGGCCGCAACAGAGATCACATGGCCCACTAAGCCTAAAAGAGTCAGTAACTGGCCCTTTACAGAAAACGTCTGCCCCCTGGATAAGGACAGAGAGGGCTTGAGGCACCTGTGGTCCCTTGGAGGGCCCAGCGGACAGAGGCTGTAGCCAGGACCCCACCTTATTCTGTGTGCACAGACAGATGCCCACGTGAATGTGAGGGACCCTTAGAACAGGCAAGACCAGTCAGTGGACTGGATGCCAGGCCTCAGGCCAGGGGTCGCACTGGCACTGTCATTGGCTCCAGAGCTGGAACCTCAGGCGTGGGGAGGAAAAGTCCCTTCAGGGTCACATTCAGACAGCGGACTCTGCGTCACCCAAGAGAGTCCTTCCTTAGGGGACGTTTGGGCATCTTCAGGTCACTGGTTCACACTCCGCTGCGCTGTGGGATGGAGACCATGCCCTAGCGCTGCTCTTGGGCCAAGGCAGGGTCCCCCTGCCCATCGGCAGGCTGTGCTTAGCACTGGTGCGCCCTGAGTTGAGAAGGAGGAGCTGGTGGGCTGCAGGGCCCTCACAGGGGAGGGCTGGAGTTCATGCTCATCTTCATGGCCACCCCTGCCCTGCATGCTCCCCCCAGCTGTCCAACACATCTGCCTGCCTGGTCTGCTTGCTCCCTCCTCCCCGCATGTGGTCAGCCCCACCACACTGTGGGGTCCCCTGGATGCCCACCCATCTGGAGGCTGCTTCTCTTCCTCACATGGTGATGCTTGGGGCTGCAGAGGCTGACAAGTTTGGCTTTTTCTTTTATCTGTAGCACGATGGTCCCCATGGGGACTGGGAGAGTGACAGGTGTAAGACAGTTCTGATTCCAGCCTAGTGGAGGAAACTGCCCTGGAATCCCCAGTATGACAAATAACATACGTATTATTGTCCAACCACAAAAACTACAGCCATGTTCTCTTCCTTGCCTGGCAGATCCTTCCCAAACAAACCCTGCCTGTTCCCAACTCCCTTCCAGGTCTTTAGGACCCCAGTCTAGGTAAAAGCTGGTTAACAAATGAATGCTTCAGGCCCCCGACTTTAAATTCATTAACTCTGCCAACATAGTAGCATCTAGAGCCAAGATCTTTAGTGATCACATGATCAGCATTCCCCAGAAGTCTCCATTACAAGTGGTCAGGGCATGGTACTTGGGAAGCAGGACCGGCAGCAAGAGGCCCTGAATCCATCCCTCCCCAGGTTTAATGGGGCATTCCCACCCTTGGAACTGCTCACAGATCAGATTCCTTCCCCCAAGGGGCAGAAAGTGCTAAGGTTTATAAATCCAGAGGTAGCGGCTGCTTAAAAGACCCTAGGCTTCCCAGGCATGGCTCTGCCTGGCTGGGGGAGTCCCTGGGTTCCCACAGCAGCTTCTCTGGGAGGTGCCACATCCAGCCTCGCTGGACAGTGGGCTTGAAGGCTGGTGGCTGTCCCCCAGCAAAATGCCATCCCCCTCCCGAGAGATAGTGAAGCTGGGGAGCTTGGCTGGCTTCCAGCTTGGCAGGAAAAAGAAAGGGCACCACTGTCCATTCCTCTCTGTGTCTACAATCTGTTCTTCCCACTTTCTGGTCCAGAAAGCCTAGGTTGTAGACCAGGCTGGCTCTGATAGATGGGGACCCAGGACCCCAGCACCCACTCCATTCTGAAGGTCCGCAGGACCGACCTGGCCTTCCTGGAAGTGGACACGACTCTAGTGGAAGGCATTTTGTGTGGCATAACAGGCAGGGTGAGAGGAGGCGGAGGGACCCGGGTGTGGAATATCTACTGGCTTCCGCCGTCTGGCGGTCCATGAACCACCCGCCTGTGTGAATCTCTAGGAACACGCTATGACTCTGGTCTCCAGAAGAGGGCGCCAGAGGGACACACGGAGCCCCTGGTTCCCTCAGCGTCCAAGGGCTTCTGTGTGTCCTTTAGAAGAGGCGGCACGTGGCTGGCCTCATCTTGGGGAGCACGTGTCCTAGGGCGCCAGTGTCCCCAGAGGGGACAGAACCCAGCTATCGGGACTAGGAAATCTAGGTTGGTAAGACTGTCCCGGCACAGCCACGTGACCCAAGAGCCGAACTGCCCCGTGTCTGGGAAACCAGCCTGGCTTCTGCAATTCCAAACATTCTCCTTCCTCACCCCTTTGCCCCTTTCCTCCCCCATGACACCTGTAACATAGAATGAGTAAAATAAATTATCTTTTCTCCCTGTTTCTCTTTACAGAACTGAAGAATAATGAAGTTATCCTTAGCCTCCTCCTAAAGGCTTTTCCTTTTGGCATCTTAAAAGCTTGGGAGATAAAATGGAAACCCCCAGAGAGGAGCCCTGCAGGCCCCAGGGCACCTGGCCCCTCGGGCAGCACTGCCCCTTGGCTGGGGGGCCCCAGCGGGCTTCAGCTCCTGGGTGGAGGTGTCTCGCCTTGTTTGTGTAGGTTGCTTTGTTAAGCTGAAGGGTTTTAAGAGTTTGATCTCACACCCGGGGCTGATTTTTATCACTCATCCCTGCCCTCCACACCCTCACACCGTGACATCACCAACGACCTCAGCATTTTAGGTCAGTACAGTGCCATCCCAGCCCTCCTGCCTTCTCCCTCACTGCCCACCGTGAGAGGCTCTGCAGGGCGGCTGGCAAGTGAGGCAGGGCTGCCATGCCCACTAGTGGTCAGGGACAGTGGACAGCCCGCCTGTCCCTGGGGTCCACTTCTCTCCTCCCCGCTGGCTGGGTCGCTGTGGGCGAGAGGCACCACATGTACCCGGGCAGCAGAGAACCAGTGCCGCCTCTTGATTGACCATCACCCTTATTTCTCCTTTAGGGGAGGCTTGTTGCAAAGACACCTTTTCACTGGTTTTTTAACCAGCTCAGCCATATCTCCACCTTCACTTTGGCAGAAGCAATAATAATAGTGTTTGCTTAAGAGATTTCTTGACTATGACTTTTCCTAGAAGGTTTCATAGATGAGTCTGAACTTCACCACATAATCAGATCAGTCCCAGATTCATTTCCTGGAGTTTTATATTTGACAATATTTATACTATACCAAACTAATCTGCAGTTTTTAGATGTTGGTTAAAACTTTTTTTAAAGCAGTAAGTTTATAGAAAATGTTTTTCCATTTAATAGAAGGCTGGGAAATGTCCAGTGTCAACCCCTAGGGGATGTTTTGTTCCCAGTGACCTTCTCCTCCGGGCCTAATACCTTAGGTTCGGGGCTTAGGGCAGAGCCAGCGACAGCCGGGCAGAGCCACGAATAGATAAAGAGCAGGTGTACTCTCGTGGGCACACATGGCCCCACACAGCAGTAGTGATGTCCTTGTCCAGGCTGGGGGTCTTCCCAATACAATAAGTAGGTTAGTTATCTGAGTTGTTTTGGAAACTTTCTGAACATGGCTTGTAGGCCCCAAGCCTCATATACTCCTGATGGCTTGGATCTGTATATTCAGCCTTTGTTCAGTCCAATAAACTTTGAGTAGATGATCTTGACTATTGTGGGGTTTTTTTTTCAGTTTTGCTTTGAGAAAAAAAAAATTCCCCCTTGAGCCCATTAAAATTTGAGCTCTCTCATTTTGATGCCTGATACTTTCCAGCAGCGTACGAGGTCATGTGTCCACCTGTCAAACTCGCGAGCCATCCAGAACACAGGAGGGAACGTGTGTCCGTCAGGGAGGATGCTCACACATGCACGTGGATTGTGATTCCAGCCACGGAGCTCAAAGCACTCACTTTCAATGCACAGCTGGGTGCAGAGTACTTAACAGAGGTGCCTTCTCCTCCGGACAGGGAAGTAGACCGTCCACATAACCGTCTCCGGGTGATGAAGAGAGGCTGGGATTTGGGACCTCAGTATTTCAGCTTCTAGATGCTGCTCTCATCAGAAAACCAATGGATGGGGTGGGGTTATTGCAGAAGGACTATGTTAGGACAAGTGTGAAGAGCAGACCTTGGGACTCCCACCCCAGCAGTGTTAGGGGTGCCACTGGCAGGCAGGGCTGTGCCCTGGGGGGCCACGGCAGCTGGTGGCCAGACCTACAGGGACTGTAGCTGACCCACCTGCAGTCTGGGGCTGACAGGTCTGGCCCTGCCATTTGGTTTATATCCTATGAAGGTGACCTGTGCCAACCTGGTGATCTGGCATGGAGGGAGGACCTGCAGAAGCCTGACACCAGAACAGTGAGATGGTGCCAGCACGCAGTGCCCAGCTGTGCTGACAGTGGAGCAAACAAGAACTGAAGGGTTCCCTGGCTTGTGCTGCAGCCTCGTCCCTCCCTTGCATGTCTGCGCTCTCGGGGGCTGTGTGCTGTCCTGTGCTGGTCAGATGGCGTGGCTGATAACAGAACTTGGCTGCCAGTCACCCAGCCTGTGTGGTCTAAACATCAAGTTGATCTTCAGCCAGACCTCTTGTTCCCTGATAAGAGAGGCAACCCCACTGACCATAAGGTATCTTTGTGCAAATTAGAAAAAGAGACCTATTCATCCAGGCAGTGCAATCCTGCACCCACCCTCATCCCTTGGCCAAGCACCCTTGTTACACATCTGTCTGCTCCCCTCTTTCCCAGCCAATAATAATTTCCTTCCCCCACTTCTAAACTAAGGGTGTTTCTAACATGTGTCCTCACAGGGTCTGCAGTCACTTGATGGACCATATCCTTCCTGGTCACCTCGCTGGGAGATGTGGGGTCAGCCGTTCCTGGAGGCCAGGGGGAAACTGAGGCCCCGAGAGCCTGAGTGATAACCTGGGGTCCCCAAATCTCCAGGGTAAACCCAAGACTTAGAACCCCAGTTTTTAACCCCTCAAGTTGAGCTCGTTGGAGCAAACCAGCTCCTGTGTTCTGAGTGGGTTTGATTTTCGCTTCGTTTTCTTCTTATCCTGGAGAGCAAGCGCAGTGACGCGTGGAGGAGGAGGGGCCCAGCTCCGTGGCCGCTCTGGGGGAGAAGCACCTTTTTCCTCTTTCTCCTTTCTTCTCAACAGAGTTCAGAAAGAACAGCTGGCAGCCATCTTCAAGCTCATGAAGGACAACAAGGAGACATTTGGTGAGATGTCCGACGGCGACGTGCGGGAGCAGCTCAGCCTCTACGACATGTAGGCTGCCTCTGCCACCCAGCAGGACGTCCGCGACTCTGCCCTGACCTGTGACCCAGAAGCATTCCATTTCAGACTTTTGTAGGCTTTGTTTTATCTCACGTACATAGATATAGAAGTAGATTATATACAGATTTGCTCAGTTCTCGCCATTTATACATAATTCAGAGGAACTGGGATAGTGTCTTCAGTTAGACATTTTGCTTTAAGAATGCTCCCCTACTACTTGCTTCCATACAGTTACAGAAGCTTCCAGAAATCCTTCCACGGCAGAATACGAGTGTAGTGTTATTAGCCTGGACACCCAGGCAATCAGACCTGGTATTCCTCTTCTCCTCGGCAGCCCTGAATCCTTCCCACACCACGTACAGGGGGGCTGTGCTGGGCTGCTCCTGGCCGCTGCCTGTCCTGGCTCTGGCATTCTTTCAGCAAAAGTCTAACTCAACACACCTCCTATCCTAGAACAAAACAATGGTATCAGAGTTAAGACCCTCTAAGAGTTTCTCTCATTTAAGCTTAAGACTTACTTTACATATAACTAAAACTTATTTGAGTGCTTACAATGCACCTAGAACTATGCTAGCCACTGTAGGCAAAATTAATGCGCAACACAGTGCCTCCCTTTAAGGACGTTCAAGTCCTTTAAAAAGACAGGCACACGTAGCAGGAAAAGAAAACCTCGCCAGACAGCCTTCCATACGATGCCAGATGGACTCGCAGAACCGTGTCTGGACACCTTCGGAGACCAGTAAATGTCTGAGTCAGTGAATGCATGCTGACAAATAACAGGGGTTCCTCCAAGCTGCACAGGTCCTGTTTCTGACCCCTCTCTTGGCAGAAAAAGTTACAGCATAACTTAGTTAAGCAGGGTATGCTATACAGAGAATCTACGAAGTTCTTATAAATATTTTTATTTGTTGAAATAAAACCAAGTCAGCACACTAAATTAAAAGAAGCAGTGGCATTTTATGCACCTCAAGTTGGTGATTATGGGGATACAGTTTAACGTCCCTCCATCCTATCTTCCTAGAGTATTCCTGGGGCTCCCTCCCTGTCTGTTAACTGTAATCCCCTGACAAGCCACACAGCGGGCGGGTCTGCTCTCAAAGTCTGTACGTGTCAGTGCTTTTTTCTTTGCTCTTTTCAGTCATTTTTATTTTTTGTCACTACTTTTAAAAAATTGTCTGACATACTAATAAATTTTCCTTTCGCAGGCCCCAGGGATTCCCCACCACCACCCTTTCTTCGTCTTTTCTCACTGCCCCTAAATGCATGTCGGCAGGCAGACCATCTCTCCCGGGGCCACACGGCAGAGCCTGCACGCCCTGCCGCCACTTCACTGTCCTTTCCCCTTTTCCTTCCACGAGTCCTTCTTTGATGATACCAAACGGGAATGAATCATGGGTACTTGAGTTAAAATTCTCATAACTACAGGAAAAGTGAACTGAAGGAGCTTTCGCACACTTGGATCAGCTAAGGTGTTCCAAGCACAAAGAAAAGTGAACTCCAGCTCAACCTGCTTAAACAGGAGAAGGGCTTGGTCACCTGACGAGTCCAAACGCCCTGAAGGGTCAGACTAGGCCACAATCCTCTTAACTCAGTCTTCCTTGCAATGCAGGCTTTTGTCGCTCACAAGTTCTCCACATGGTTCAGGGGTTTTGCCCAGAGACAAGAAAAGGGCCATCTCTTGCTTGTGTCTTTAGAAGTGAGAGGATTGGTTCAGATGCCCCTTTCCTTCTTTTCAGTTCCTAATTAACCAGAATATATCATGTGACCATCCCTCAACCAATCACTAGCAAGGACATGGGCCTACCATGGTTGGCTGAGATGCCTGGGGCTGGGGCCAGCATCCCCTAAACACATGGCCTTCGGAGGAGCAGGTAATGACTTGATTGGGGCTCTGTGAGGACGGGCCCTGGGGGATGGGTATTGGGTAGACACCAGGACTGCTCTGTCACTTGGAAGCCAGTGTCTGCAGTACCCAGCATACATCACCCTGCATACCTCCTGGGTGGTCTGCTGCCCAGGCTCCACCCACACTGGGCCTCTGATGCCTGGAGGAAGCACTACTGGCTCACCAAGACTGATGGGTGGCTCTGATGCCATTTCCAGATCAGTGCCTGCTTCTGTTTGCACCATTTCTGTCACACCTGCCTCACTGGGACCCTCAAGCCCATATGTAACCAGAGGAGTCCTCTTAAAACAGAACCCATTTCAATCTGACACCCACATGTCCCACCAGATACCAATAGTTTGAAGGGTCAGGAAAATCAAAGTACGTTCAAAAAAATGTACATGCAGATTCTGAACCCATTCTTAGACGTTTCCTGGAGTCGATGGCAGAAACTTAACGCACAATCATAAGCTAAACTCCACCCTGCAAGCTGATACCATGAGGAAACTGCTCACACATGTCTACATAAAGTAATGGCGAAAGCAACAAGGCAAAGGGAGATAACAAACGCGGAGGGAAGACTTCTTCAAGGCAGGCCTTGGCAGGACACCACCAGTGTGCTGTCACTGCCACACAGGCCCAGAGGACAGAAGCCAATCAAACGGAACTGTCTCCAGGCCTGGGGGTCAAGAGACTTCGGGTGCTCAGAACCTCTCAGTCCCTCCCCGCTGCTCTGCTCTGGAGCCCTGCTCACAGGCTGGCCTCCCTCCATGACACAGATAAACATGCCTTGACACCCACTGAACACATCACACACGTGCAGTGGGTTAAAACCATGTCCACAGACAGTTCATGTCTATTTACCAAGCTCTGCTTGCTATGAATTATTCAGGGCCCGCTTTCCTCAAAGAGTGCATTGTAACTGCCACCATCTGGGCAAAATTAGGTGTCTCCTCACTTCCTGCACTGAAAATGGCCAGTGAGGACAACGTGCAATTTAAGCAGCTTTACGAGTAGCGTAACGCTGAGGGCAAACCTGCTGTGAACTCCCAGGGCACACAGCTCTTTCCCCCACCGATCTGGATGACGTGTACTTGCTTTCGACTTTTAAGGATTATGTTGGCGATTTGGGGGGGCAGTGTCAATTACTGTCCAGGCCTGACCCTGAGAGAGAAGTCCTGAAAAATCTAGGTAATTCCAAGAAAAGCCTAGCAAATCAGGAGCCTTAGTGAAAGACAAAACACCAAACTGAGGAAAAGCAAAAAATTTTGTGCACAGCACAATTTCAATTCCGCGTTAGCCGAGCGCTTTATATACTACGAGTAACTCCGCACCGGGAAAACTCACGCGCAGGCACATTGGCCCAATCACTTTCCACGGCCGGGCGAACATCTTGACTGCCATTGGGCACCGCGTGCTCCGTGGCCCGCGAGCCCGCCTCGCTCCGAGTGGGAAGTCCCGGATGTCCGCGCGCGTCCAGTTAGGGCTCTTCAGTGATTGACA